TAAACCCTAAAAAAACTGTAACTACTTAGCCAGCCAAGCGTAGCCGGATTTTCAATATTGTCTATAAGCTTAAGCGTTTAGATCTTCTAGAGCACCCTATCCTTGGAATAGAAGCTTATAATCGCCGAGGGAGTTTTCACACCTGTCTTTCCAACCCAACTAACTTAGACTAAAGCAACCTACAAATGTGTGATGAGGTTTAGGAGATATGTGTAGTCGTTGCCATTGTAGGCAAGAAGATCTTGGCTGTCGGTGAACTCCATGAGGGTGCTGACGATGTTGTGTGGCAGTGATGTAATCCCGAAGATCACCACCATTGACACCAGTATTAGGGTAACTCGTCGTCGTTGCTGCATTACTCGTTTCTTTTGCTCGATTAGATGAGTCAACTGAAGTCCGCTGATTAACGCTTTTATTCATCTTGTGATAGCGAAAAATCACCTGCTCCTTGTGCTGTTGCGTGTCACCACCTGCTGTAGCAGCCACGACATACAGAAGATTTGCCTGTTGTGCGATTGAAGTCAGTCGAGATTGTGCTCGTCGACGAAGGAATGCGAAGACCTAAGCGGAATATGTGCGAGATCGTAATTTAAAGCTCATCCACAGAAGTACCGCTTGATAGCAGATAGTCATAATCGTGAATGGAATCACAAATTGTATAGCAAGCACGAAGAGCGTGTAGATCCGTTTTGAATGTACATTAGGCCATTTCTCCGTGCAAAATTCGCCACACACGTCTGAATGAAAGTTAAAGAGAAACCTTAAGATGGTAAATTAAATAACTCACTTATTGCCGTATATTTCTTCATTTTCATATGATACACATAAGGTAACGTAACTAGGATTGAGATGATCCAGAGAAGAATTGTGATTCGAATTGCATTCATTTTCCGGAGAGGACTTCCTAAAATCAATAAATGCCTCTCCCAAGCTGTTAGCAAGAGATATGTAATCGGAAGCACAGATAATATAACGGCTTTCAAGTACACTTAAGTATTGTCAGTTTCGAAAACCTGCTGGTTTGTGTAAGTGCGTAAGTAGGAAGAGAGCAAGAGCTGGTAGTACTATTTAGGTTTCATTTGAAATAGGGCATCTATCATTAGAAGATCTATCTGTTTTTTCCTTCCCTCTTACTTCATAATTCTAACTAAGCAGCTGATTTAGTAATTGTTTTCAAATTTATTCTTTCGAGTCTTGTTTTGTTTAGTGTTCTCCTAAGAAACAAGAATAAAATCGTAGACAAACAAAGGTAAATAAATCCAAGCAACGGCTTGGATGCATGGCAATCAGCTGATCCTAATCTATGGTGGCGATCAGATTGATCAGTCCCGCAACCGCGCCGCCGCATTGGCTCCTTTGACTCTGCTAAGAGTACGTCTGGGAGCTGACAACACATTATTATTGCGGTATATATATGAATATACTGTAGCATTTGGAACATTTGGCTCATAAAAATATTACCAACCAGAACACTCGAAATAATGGAGTATCTTGTAATTTGCACGCCTCCTCTTGTTCAGACCTAGCATTATCACGATATTTCAGTGTGATCCTCTAGCCAATACTAAGTTTTTGCTATGAAACTTTATCAATGGCCTAACGTAATTGTGAGACTAATCGTCGTCTTCAGAGCCTCAAGGGGGACAAGATTGGTGATTATAGTCTTTCAGACTAAATGCTTCAACCTTTGACTAATTTTAATCCCCTCTCCTCCCTGAGATCTACCCGCTAATATCGCGGGAAAGAAAAACTACTCTGCTTTACCGTCAATGTACGAAGTGGTGTGCAGCCCAAGACTTGGCAGCAATACAAAAGGCAAGCTAGAAATGGTTTTTTGGTGGGAAAAGTTGATATAGCGATGGATCGCAGTCTTCTTCCGTTTTCGCCTTTCCTGGTAATCACTTTACAACCATCTTTAATTACTACCACATAACTAGCATGTCCACAAGCCTGCTTCAAAGCTTTAAAGCGCAGCTGCGCGGGAAGTTCAGACACACACCTTCAACAGTTCACTTCAACACTTTAAGCGAATAGCTTATAAACGACCTCCAAGAAGAGCGCACAAAGAGTTTAGGGATCATGACATATTTGAGAACCTATGAGAATGTAGAAATTGCCGTACCTTTTTGCGATTAGGTCTTAAACCTGAGGTCTCCGATTAGCAAAGATTTTCTCCCCCTTTGCTTTCTTTATATCAAACACTTCCTTTACACCTCTTCAACTTTAGCGCCAGGTCAGAGCCTTTCTCATTTTTGTTAGGCCCTAAGTCGTTTTACTTTAATGAAGATTAGCGCTCCAGATAAGCCTGCTGCTCTTCTTGTTCTATGTGCACACATTTCTACAGTTTACGGGAATTCGTAATTTGCTGCATTTACAGAAAGGATGTACGTTTTAGGCTCTACTGAAGTT